GAGGCAAGGATTCTGAGGCTTCGTCTGACATACTTTGGTCATGTTGTAAGGAGAGACCGGTCCTTGGAGAAGGACATCATGTTTGGGAGGGTGGATGGCAGGCATAGGAGGGGAAGGCCCTCTAGGAGGTGGATTGATTCGGTGACTTGGGTAATCGGGATGAGTGTGTCGGATAGAATGAGATGGGCACAGGACAGAACATAGTTAGGGCTGTTGTACATAGAGTCGCTATGAGTCGCAAGCAACTCGATGGCACATAACAACAACAACAACAACTGCCTGACTAATACTAGTCATAAAATTCCTCACTTCAGCTTATTTGCACTGATTTATTCTAGATGATGCTTTATACTTAATTTGACCTACTGATTAAGTGTCAAAAGCCTACTTCTGTAAAGGAATTACGTTATTGTTTGAATATGACTATGAGAGTACCCTTAAGTGTCCTCTCAACAATATGTAAATTATCTTTATTTCTTTAAAGAATGCCTGGAATTTTTAGCTCCCCACTGGACTCTAGTATTTTCTAACTGATATTGAACAGAAATTTACAGATCCATGACTACCAACTGATACAGCACTTTAGCTTCTGTAGTCAATTTTATCACAGTACTCCTGCCATATTATACATATATATTGAAGTGACATTAATTCTGGGACCAAATAGACCAGAATTCACAGCTGGTTCTGCCATTTGACTTGTCAAAATGGCAACAAACTTTATGGGGATTATAAATTGTCTCTCTGCTTACTAAAGAATAATATTTTTGGTAAAGGGTTCCAACTGCTGAATTTTTAAATCCGTCCCCAGATTTGTGCGAAGGGCATGAGTTCTATAGGCTGCTGGACTGATCAAGATAGGGATATGAAGGTAGGCCCATTCCTACAAGAGAAGGGCCCTTTTTACTTGTGGTTTTTATTCTAAATTAAGCCCTGCTGAAACTACCTTAGAACTTTACCACAGTCTAAAATGTCTTTCCTTCTGCTCTCCCTTCCTGTACCCTCTGTCCTTCAAAGGAGTCAGACCTGTGACAGCCTCCCTAGGCTACTTTCACATTTTCCCTCACCAGGGAAAGAAATATCTGTCAAGAAATCTCTTTCATATTTAATCCTGTATTCATATTTAGTTCCTTCTCAGAGGACTTGGAGTAATAGAATTTAACCTAAAGAAGTTCACAGAAGAAAAACAGTAGACACTCAATACTCATAATTTACTTGGCCACATCTTCCTCATTCCAGATGTCTAGAGTTTCTTTTTCTTGACCTTTAAGATCATGGTTTTATATTCATGCTTCCCTTTTACAGTCAGAACTCGATTGAACATGCAATCAAGATGCATTGATAATAAACGGTGACTGAAACGCAAAATTTGGGAACAGGGAAGAAGGATCAGTAGCTGGAAAACATGGACTTGGTGACAGAAAAGAGTCTGGAAATAAAATGATAGAATTCTGCACATTAAATGATTTATTCATTGAAAATACCTTTTATAAGAAAGACACAATCGCAGGCTATACATATGGATTTCACCTGATGCCATGCATAGGAACCAAATCAATCACATTTGTGGAAAACTTGCTGGAGAAGCTCAATGTCAGCTGTGAAAACCAGGCCAAGTGCTGATTGTGGGAGAGACCATTAACTACTCATATGGAAGTTCAAGCTGAAGTTGAAGAAAATTAGATCAGATCCACGGGAACCAAAATTTGACCTTAAGTCTATCCCATTCGAATTTCAAAACCATCTCAGTAACATGTTTGAGGCCTTGAGCACCAATGAATAACCAAATTATCTGTGAGAGTATATCAAGAAAATCGTCCATGAAGAATGCAAAAGATCATTACAAAATCTGAAGAGGAAGAAAAGACCAATATGGATGTCAGATGAAACTCTGAATATTGCATTAGAGTGCCGAGAACCAAAAGCTAAAGGAAGAAATCAAGAACAGAACATTTCAAAGGGTAGCTTGGGATGACAAAGCAAGATACTATAAGGAAATGTGCAAAGAGCTTGAGTCAGAAAATCGAAAGGGCCGAACTCACTCAATGCTTCTGAAGCTGAAGGAGGTGAAAAACAAATTCAAGCCACGAGTGGCAATACTTAAGGATGCTTTGGGTAGAGTGTTAAATGATCCAAGAAGCATTAAAAGAAGATGGAAGGAGTATACAGAGTCACTGTATCAGAAGGAATTGGGTGACAGAGAAGAATTTAATGAAATAACTTTTGAGCAAGAGCCTGTGGTGATGGAGGAAGTTCAAGTTGCTCTGAAAGAATTGGCAAAAAACAAGGTTACAGGAGTTGATGGCATACCAATTGGCATATTTCAACAAACAGATGATGCCCTAGATATGCTAAGTTGTGCCAAGAAATCTGGAGGACAATCACCTGGACAACTGACTGGTAGAGATCAATATTTGTTCTCATTCCAAAGAAAGATGATCCGACGGAGAGCAGAAATTATAGAACAATATCATTAATATCACATGCAAGCAAGATTCTGCTGAAAAATTTCCCCAAACGACTGGAGCAACACATCAACAAAGAACTGCCAGATGTGCAGGCTAGGTTTAGAAGAGGTCATGGTACTAGGGATATTATAGCTAATGTTAGAAGGATTTTTGCAGAAAGCAGAGAGTACCAGAGGAATGTCTATCTGTGCTTCATTGACTATGCAAAGGCTTTTGACTGTGTGGACCACAATAAGCGGTGGATGACTCTGAGAATAATGGGAATCCCAAAACGTTTGATTGTACTTATGCGAAACCTATCCTTGGACCAAGAGGCAGTCGTCAGAACAGAGCAAGGACCCAAGAGGCAGTAGTCAGAACAGAGCAAGGAGACACTGCATGGTGCAAAATCGGGAAGGGGGTCCACCAAGGATGTATTTGTCTCCATACCTTTTCAATTTGTATGCAGAGCAGATCATCTGGGATACTGGGCTGTACAAGGAGGAATGTGGCATCAGGATTGGAGGAAGATTCATCAACAACCTGCATTATGCCGATGACACAACCCTGCTTGCTGAAACTGAGGAGAACCTGAAATGCTTGCTGTAGAAGGTCAAGGACTTCAATATGGATTGATGCTCAACATCAAGAAAACGAAGATTCTCACCACTGGGCCAGTTGGCAGCATCAGTATGGATGGTGAAAAGATTGAACAGTTTTAGTGTGCTTGGTTCCACAGTCAACACTCTTGGTACCACCAGCAGCCAAAAAAACAAGAGATTAATTGTGTTGGGAAATTCAGCCTCAGGTACCTCTCCTGAGTACTGAAGAGCAACGGCATCAAGCTGGAGACTAAGGCGTGCCTTATCACGTGCTATGCATCAGAGAGCTGGACAGTAACTAGGGATGATAGAAAGAGAATTGATTCCTTTGAGCTGTTTGGAGAAGGGTGCTGAATATACCATGTACTGCTAGGAAAACAAACAGGTTTGTCCTAGAGAGGGTGAAGCCGGGCTGCTCCTTGGAGACATAGATTCTGAAGCTTCGTCTGACATACTTTGGGGATGTTTCAAGGAGGGACAAATCCTTGGAGAGGGACACGATGTTTGGAAGAGTGGAGGGACAGTACAGGAGAGGAAGACCCTCGATGAGATGGATCAATTCAGTTATTGGGGTAGTGGGAGTAGGTGTGTCGGAGACAATGAGGTTGGTACAGGATAGAGCAGGGTTAGGGCTCTTGGACATAGGGTCCCTATGAGTTGTAAGCAACTTGATGACACATAACAACAAAAACAATCCACTAAATGAATCATTGTGGATCCTGACTTAGTTATACAATTTATTCACTACTCATTGTGGGGCTGAGTGGTTCATGAGAACTGATACATTTTCAAGGATTTTGCAAGCTGGCTGTTAAACTGTTGGTAGCTTGAAATTGGCCATGATTGGCCATGTAAAAACAGCATGGGAAATGGCAAACATTTCTACTCAGTACCTTTATTTTAGTTTGGTTTTGTTTGTTTGTTTGTTTTTTAGGGAGGTGGTTTATCAATGCACCACTGATTATGCTTCCCAAATTTATGTATTGAGAAATTATAAATATGTTAAACAGATTTGTACTGAGAATAGAAAGTATCTTAGGTTTGTAATCTGGTAAGTAAAAACTCAGTGACTTCTCTCATACATAGTCAAGAGAGGTATTGAGTAAGTTTGTTTGCTGGAACTTAGCAACAATATCAATAAACCAAAGAGCCAGAGGAAGATGAGCCCTGACAAATGTGCTTCTCTAGGATTCATGGGTTAAACAAAAGCAAACAAACATACGCATAATTATCCAGAAAACAGACTTCTTCTTGTCTTGCTATCTGTGAGTAGAATTGGTGGCATCTAGGCTATGATATTAAAGCCCCTGCATCCATCAGAGGCACCTCAGAGACCACAGAGGAAGGTGGGTAGTGGCAAAAAGGAGATAATCTGGATTCCCTAGCTATGAGTCAATTCATACAGCCCCTGTTTCACCATTTTATATATTTGGTTTCTTTTTAAATATATCTTCATAAAAATAATTCTATCCATTTTATTGAACACCACTATCGAAAATCATCAGCTATAAAGTAAAAATGCGGTTCCTTATTTTAAAAATGAAGAAATAGTTAAATTATCCAAAGAAAATCCTATAAGAGATGTTTCTTACCTGAATTCCTCTCTGTGAGTTCAAACACTGATATTGTGTCATCACTGAGAAAATATGAAATAATGAACATCCTGTCCAAGTCAGCACATTTGTGTGTGATTAATTTTGCAAAAAATCGAAGTATATAGCTTATGTGGCCATAGCTAAATGGAAGAGAAATGGAGGTTACAGCATTACACAAGTAATCTTCCATACATTATGCATGTAAGAAAACCTGCAAAATGTGTATTAGCTTTAAGTGCTATAGTTTTAAGTTTTCACAAGTGAAAGAGTTCAACTGTCTGCATATTAAAGTTCTAAGCCTATATACTGAAGATCTTTCTTAACTTAATATATTATCTCATATTCTTTGCATGTCTTAGGTAACAATGAGAAAATTTACTCAAAACAATTGTAATAAACATTCTGCTCATACTACCTATACTAAAGGCTTGCTCTCAAACCACAGAGCTAATCAATAGTCACAACACCCATGCCAGAAAGAAGCACAAGCAACTTATCCCTTGTTCCTGGAGCAGTACAGAGGGTGTGCTATTTTCTGTACCTGGAGCCACCTTTTTTACTCACCAGTTACTATCACATGCACATTTCTTTCCTTCCTGCTCTCCAGACCACATTCTTCCCTTACATCCCTGCATCTCTCCCATTTACCCTCAAGGGAAAAATTAGCTTTTCCTTTAAAATGCTATAAAAATATTATGTATCTTCCTTTAAAAAACAAAACACTTTATTGGGATTTTTGTGAATGTTTACAAAGCATTTTGCATTTTTTGGGGGTTCCCCCCAGTTAATCATGTATATTCAGTTCCACAACGTCAATAACAATACACACAATATCTCATCATCCATTCATTAAATGATGACATGCCCTTCACCTTTTCCATTGCCGTGAACATTGACATTGTTCATTAACAATTTCTTAGTTTTCTACTTTCCACCTCCCCACCATGTCATCACACTAGAGTTATTCTCTCTGTATGTAAACCTTTAACTTGTTTTCTCTAACAGTGATCTTGTACAGTAACTATCCTTTTGTGACTGACTTATTTCACTCAGCACAGTGTCCTCTAGACTCATCTAATGAATTCTTCATTGTTGTCAATGCTGCATAGTACTCCATTGTGTAAATATGTCCTATTTTCTCTATTTGTTCATTGATGAGCACTTGGGCTGTTTCTGCTTTTCTCTGCTATTGTGACTAATATTACAATAAACATGGGTATGCTTATCTGTTTTCTTCCCATCCGTTATTTTTGGGGGTATATTCTTAGCAGTGGAATAGCTGGATCAAATGGTATTTCTATTTTCAAAGTTTTAAGGAAACACCAAACTGCCTTCCACAGTGGCTGCATCATTTTGCTATTCCACCAGCAGTGTATGAGAGTTTCAATTTCACTATACTCTTGCCAGCCTTTTATATAGCACTGCTCACCCATATTATAAAAAGTCTGTTTTCAAAGGGCAAGGTCTATTTCTTATTAACTGATGCCTAATACAACACTTTGAACATTAAAAATTAAGTCTTTGTAGGGAGTCTACTGGTAAGTAGGTGTGCTGCCATCCTAAAGGCATGCTGTTTGAATTCATCAGCTGATCTGCAGGAGAAAGATGATCAATCTTCTCTCATGCAATTTACTGCCTATGAAAACCCACTGGAGGATGAGGTAAGAATCAGTTACAACTCAGTGGTACATAACAACAATATTAAAAGCAATTAATAAACATTTGAGACAGTTGTTTTAAAATCTGTATACATTAGAATTCATGCTTACACATAAATAGAATAGTTTAATAGAATAAGGATGGGATTAAATTCTAGAGCCAAAATTTCCCAGAGTTGACTGCCTGGACACAAAATAAAGTGATGGTCTCTCAGCAGAAGTATGTCTGCTGATACAAGCCAGTGAAAAGTGGACTGAGTAAAAAAAAAAAAAGGTAGACACTTAAAAAAACCTTCATTAATTAGAATCATAGCACAAGGAGGTACACAATAAAATATATACATAATTTCCCTGATACAGCTCTAAAAAGAGTGTCCCTTATTCAAAGACTCTCTTATGCTGAAATTCATTCTGAAAATTGATGGGGAAAATAAGAACAAAGACAAAAACAAGTATTTCTGATTTTCAAAGGTGGAAAATCTGGCCAATTCTTGATTATTCAAAAAAGGAAGGCTGTAAAAGCATGATATCAAGATTCTCAGCTTGAGTCTTCATAGGAGATTAGAAAAAGTAATTTGAAAAGCTAGTCTCAGGGAAACAGAAGTCTGTGTAGAATACAACTCATAGTAGCCACATGTGTCAGAGTAGAACTGTACTTCATAGTTTTCATGACTACTTTTTCCACAAGTAAATCATCAGATCTTCCTTCTGTGGTACCTCTTTATGGAACAGTCAATCTATCAGTCTTCTGTTTACGCTTTCCAAGGCTACAGCTCATGGAAATCCAAGGCAAAAACAAAACAAAACAAAACCCTTCACCCTAGATACAGTAATCAAGGGGTACCTAGTCTAGAGCCTTGCTGTTGACCACTGAGGACAATTACACTTTAAGAGAGGTGGACTTCACACAGGATATATTCCTGCCATGCTACATGAGACCTGATAGGGCAGATACATAAAGGTGCCTGGGGCTGTCCTCAGTTCCCCTACCCTGAATAGAGAATGCAGCAGTTAGGGTGAACCTGGTTTCCAGCCTCGCTGTGGGCCATCAATAACAATTACAGACGTTAGGAGAGGTGGGCTACACACTGAAGAGAATCTCCAGGCTATACTAGACCTGAGAAGGCTGACATTCTCTCAGTACCAGGAGCTGCCTAATCCATCTCCCCCAATGACAGACAGTGTATCAGCAGGAATGACCTGATGATGAGCCACTTGGCCACTCGAAAGACCACCAAGGACAAAAACAGACTAGGAGAGGCAGATAATATTCAGGTTACTGTAGACTAGAGAGAAGTTGAAGAACATTAGGAAAGCAAAATGTTCCAGCTATAGAGGACCAGAAAGGACTCCAGGTAAAACAAGTTGCCATTTTCCATAAAATGAACACTTTAAGTCTGCACCTAATGAATAGAATCATAAAGATAAAGAACTGTCAACAACCTACACAGACACAACTAAAATAGCCTAATACATAACACAAAAAAAACCTTCACAAAGTGTCAAGAAGGCAGTCGGCAGGCACAAACATTGGGAAAAACCAAAACAAACCTTCTCTTATAAAAGCAGATTTTATGACAGACCCAATGAATACCCCAGAGGCAGGGAGACAAAAGAAATATATAGATATGGAGTAATATGAACAAATAATTAAAAAATTGCAAAAGAAAGGAGAAATAATTGATACTATAGATAAAGAGGTACAAGAGTTTAAAAAAAATCATCACAAGACAGAGAGGGTACAACCAACACAGTTTTGTAAATATCAAACATGCATAAACAGCAGCAACAGCAGCCTCTGCATTGTCAGCAGCCATGGATCTGTTTCAGTTGATTAACTAGGTACCTGTCTTGAAAATTTCTTAGTGCGGTCTGAAATGCTCTCCTGTCTGGAGCACTAGACCGAGGCCCCACTGCCTGCAGGCCCCTGGGAACTCTGACTGGAGACTGAGGCTTCTCTGCCTAGAGGCCCCAGCTCCTCCACTTGGTGGTCCCAGCCTTGCAACCTGAACCCCCAACCCTGCTTCCAGCCCCCTGGACAACACCTGGAAGACCTGACCCAGAGCCCCACCACTGGGATGCACCCTACTGCAGCCTGGAAGCCCAGCTCTGCCACCTGGAGGACCTGGCCCTGCTACCTGGACATCCTACCAACTAGATACCCCTTTACCTGGAGGATGACCCACTGCCACCCCTCTAAACTGCACCAGGGATAGCAATATCACAGGTGATCCCATTTCTTCTTCTCTCCCAGAGCTGGCATTACCTTTAGCCTTGGTCACCTTGGACCCCCCTAGTCTAGCTGCAGCAGTAGCCTGACAGAGAAGGCTGCTAACTCACAGGCCATATCCCTCCCCAACTGAAGCAAGTCTTCCCTTGAGAAGGCCAGGCAGAGTAGCTGCCCTGCTCTCCACTGGAGCAATGACTTCTTGAGCCACTGTTTTCAGACCAAGAGCCTGTTAAGGTCTCAAGCATTAAAAACTTTACCATAGTAATGTCACAGAAGAAGCAGACTACCTTACACACTACACAAACCCAAAACAAAATGTCACTTCCCAAAAGTGATACAGTAAAAACGGGTTTCCTGAAGTCAGAAAGTCTGATGGAACTTTCAGACACAGAATAAAAAGAACAATGGTTGAATATTTTAAAAGGGTGAAAGACAAACTTGAAGAATTATAGAACTCTGCAAGCGAAAACCAAGAGGAACCTAAAAAAAAATCCAAGACAATGCAGATAAAACAAATAAGGCTTTAGAGACCCTGGAAAAACAAGAACCCACAATCCAGCATATGTGGACCAATATTTCAGATGTTGTCAACATGTTGGAGGGACATATGAACAGAGTTGAAGAGACAGAACACAGAACCAAAGAAATAGAAGATAGAATTGTCACCACTGATCTGCTAGAACAAAAAGCAGAATCAGAAAGGAAAGGAAAAGAAGAAAGCCTAAGAATAACATCGGACACCATCAAGAGGAATAATATGTGCATAGTCAGAATCCCAGAACAGAGCAGGTAAAGGCACTTCTCGGTAGTGGAAAAATTACTAGAAGAAAACTTTGCAGACGTAATGAAAAATGAGAGAAAGTATATTCAAGAAGCTGAGTGAACACCATATAGAAAAGATCCCACACCACCCCACCCCCCCCAAAAAAAACACCAAGGTATATCATAGTCAAGTTTAAAAGGAGAGAATTCTGAAAGTGGCCATCCATCATGGTGCTGCCAATTGGCCCATTGGTGAGAATCTTTGTCTTCTTGATCTTGGGTTTCAATCTTTTTTGAAGATTACAGTTCTTGACCTTCTTCAATAAGTGCTTGAGGTCCTTCTCAGTTTCAGCAAGCAAGGTTGTGTCATCTGCATAAATCAGGTTATTTATGAATCTTCCTCAAATCCTAATGTCACATTCTTCCTCATAAAGCCCAGCCTCCTGAATGATCAGAGGCAGTTAATCGCATGGTAGTAGACGGTCCATCC